GAGCTTCTTGACTTTTTTACCTGTCTGAGTCTCAACAAGTATTTTCCACTTCTTGAAAACAGAAAATGCCTGATTTTTATGTTTCAGGAAATAGACCCAGACTTTACGAGAAAAGTCATCAATAATAGACATAAAATATCTACAACCTCCCATAGACTGGAATTTAGTTGGTCCCCATAAATCGGAATGTATGTATTCCAATACATCTTTGGTACGGTGTGTAGCAGTAGAGAAACTCACCATCTTTTGTTTCCCAAAAACACAATGCTCACAAAATTGTAATTTACCCGTACCTGAACGACCAAGGAGGTCTTTCTTGCTCAAGATATGCAGTCTTTTCTCACTCATATACCCCAGACGCATATACCATAACTGAGTGAGATCCGCATTAGACATCGATGAGGATACCGCTACTGAACCTGTCACAGTACTGCCATGCAAGACATACAAGCTTCTAGAATGAGAAGCTTTCATGAGAACAAGAGAACCTTTTATGACCTTCAGAACTCCACCTTCAACTATGTACTTACACCCCAGAGATTCTAAGGTGCCCAAGGATATCAGATTGCGTTTCAAATCAGGAATATACCGAATATTGGTAAGAGTCCTGACAACGTTATCATGAGTTTTAATCTGCACACTTCCAATTCCACGAACTTTGCATTGGGTATCATTACCCAGCAAGACAGCATCACCATCAACCTGTTCCAGGGAGACGAGCAAGTCTTTGTGAGGACACATGTGGAATGTACAACCAGAGTCCAAAATTCACTCGGTTTCGCTCCGTTTGCAACCGGAGCTGACAGATAACATAACATCGCCTTTGGACTTGGATCTAGAATTTTTATTGCTACTCCCTGATTCAAGTGAACGACCCCTTACACTCAAGCCTTCACCTTTGTCCTCAGACTTAATTTCAAAGTCAAACTTTTCTTTGGACAATAGGTTTGACTTAACACTGTCGAAAGTAAAGGTATCACTACTATTACCATACATCATAATTTCTTTGAAATGCTTGTATGATTTAGGGAGAGAGACAAGCAATAAAACAGTGCGATCCTCATCTTCAATTATGACATCAATATTTTCCAAGTCTAACAAAATAGAATTGAATTCATCCAAGTGAGATTTAATAGAAGTACCTTCCGTCATACGGATTGTGTACAGACGCTCCTTCAGGCGTAGCGTGTTCGCCCGAGTTTTGGCCATGTAAAGCGTATCCAGCTTGGACCATAAATCTGACGCAGTCGTCTCACTTACTACCTCATGTAGAATCTCTTTAGACAAGCACAAAAGAATGGTTGAACATGCCTTGTCATCCAAATCTTCCCAATCTTCATTTGTCATTGTAGCCGGTTTCTTCTTCTTCCCAGCTAGCGCTTTCTTCAAACCATTCTGGGTTAGAACGGCTTCCATCTGAACCTTCCAGATAGAAAAGCTAATTTTCCCGTCGAACTTCTTGATATCGAACTTGGTGGCAGTCGACATCTTTAAAAATAATTCTGAATTAAACCACTCTGATACCACTTGTTAGGAATATAGCAGAATAATGCGGAAGCGAAGAATCAAAAATTGAGAATTATAGAAGTTAAATAATAGGGAGAATATAATAAATGACAAATAAATAAATATAAAATAAAATGGGAAAATATGAAATATATATATATATATATATATATATATATATATATATATATATATATATATATATATACACACACTCTACGTGAGGGACAAAGAAAGAAAGAGAATGAATTCAAAATGATGTTGTGAACATAGAAAATTGAATAAAATATATTTGTATTCAAAATTCTGATTACAGTAGTATAAATCAATGCGGTGTGGGTACAAGTCTCTGGATGATCCTCTGATTCTTCAATTGATGTCTTGAACACTCCACCATTGAAGGGCCTCCGGGTTTTAAGTGGCTTGATCTTCAAAGAAGGGCTTGTATATATAGTTTGTTCTTCTTGAAGGGCCTTCGGGTTCAAATGGCTTGATCTTCAATAGAGGTTTGGATCAACATGCATCAACATATGGAGGAGGAGGGGCTTTTACCTTCAGGATCACATTTTTATTGTGATCTCTGAATAAGCTTCAGAGTTCTTTCTATGATTTTTCCTAGGATCTGTTTACATAGAAATAATAGATCCTATTTATAGCTGTAGGATAGAAGAGTTTTGATAGGTTCAAACTCTTTTGATATTATCTAATTAACAAATTAGATAATATCAATATTATCCAAAATATTTTAAATATATTCAAATATACTAATATTGATAAATGATTAATATTTATCAAAATTTAAGTGTCTACAAATGCCCCCTCGAAACTTGCTTGTACACCACTTGAGAGCATATAACACTCGAAAGTATGTAGTGTAAGAAAGTCACGAAACTACAACTTAAAGATATAAGGTCATTTCAACTCGTGCCAAGAAGCCTTGAAAGATATGAGGCCGTTTAAACTCGTGCCAAGGAGCCTGAATATGAGGCCGTTTAAACTCGTGCCAAGGAGTATCATTTAGCCCCCTCCATTTCAAATTTCATATGGGGTTTTCCCCCATACCGGTTGAATGGTATGTGCCTATGAAGAGATGAGAGGCAGAGCTGTCCCATTGGGCGTGCCAATTTGTGAACAAAGAAAATTGAATAAAATATATTTGAATTCAAAATTCTAGGTATAGTAGTATAAATCAATGCGGTGTGGGTACAAGTCTCTGGATGATCCTCTGATTCTTCAATTGATGTCTTGAACACTCCACCATTGAAGGGCCTCCGGGTTTCAAGTGGCTTGATCTTCAAAGAAGGGCTTGTATATATAGCTTGTTCTTCTTGAAGGGCCTCCGGGTTCAAATGGCTTGATCTTCAATAGAGATTTGGATCAACATGCATCAACATATGGAGGAGGGGGGCTTTTACTTTCAGGATCACATTTTTATTATGATCTCTGAATAAACTTTAGAGTTCTTTCTATGATTTTTCCTAGGATCTGTTTACATAGAAATAATAGGTCCTATTTATAGCTGTAGGATAAAAGAGTTTTGATAGGTTCAAACTCTTTGAATATTATCTAATTAAAAAATTAGATAATATCAATATTATCCAAAATATTTTAAATATATTCAAATATACTAATATTGATAAATAATCAATATTTATCAAAATTTAAGTGTCTACAAATGTATTGAATTGATGTGTGGTTTACAAAGCAAAGAACTAATCTATTTATACTCAAAGAAAAGAGAACTTTGCGCAAGCTTAAGTGGAGAACGTGAGCGGCAATTGCTACGTGGGAAGCTGCATGGTGAGTGGAAGACGCCAATATGGAAAATGGTCTTCATGCACTAATTTGAGCCACATATTATTTCTAACAGAATATAATAGCAAGAAGACAACAATGAACACACAGAGTTTGATAACCAAGTTCGGAGAATTCAACTCCTACATCTGGGGGGCATAACATGAAATGACTCCCCGATTCTTCATTGATATCAAAGGAAGCGATATACCGAATCACAGTGAAGAACACGAAGGACTTGAAGAATATACAGCTACAACTTAGCTAATCAAGACGAGCTCCTTCTTTGAAGAACCGGTGTGAGATCTTCCGATCACTCAAATTGAGGTTCCCCACCAATTGTAGCAGACTTGTGTAAAATCCATGTGAGTGAATAACCCGTAATCAACAACAAATTGATGATTGACTTGATGTAGGAATCTTTTATCAACTCAAGAAGAATTATCAAGTCATTCAATTTAGCTCCAGAAACTCTCTCGAAAGTGTATTTGATCCTCTCTTTAAATCCCTTGATCAACTGATAAAGTGAGAGATAATACCTTAAGTAGTTGATCCACAAAGATCTTAACTGAATAATTGTCTTGAACATTTGCTCGAACAATCTTCTAAATTGGTTCAGTCTTCACTTCAATGAGTCTGACATCTGAACAACTTTGAACTATTCTAAATACTACGGAGTAGTTCAGGCTCTATCTATCCTAGAACAAGGACTGAACAACTGCTTTGTTCCATAAAAACTTAACAACATAGAGGGATAACAGATAACTCTTTTGTAACATATTTTATTCACAATCCCCCCCCCCCCCCCCCCCCCCTCGCCCCTTTGTTAAGTTTATGGCAATGCTGATTGTTCATACAAAATTAATATGAGCAATGCAAATCCTTTTTGGACCAAAAAAACAACAAGTCTTTTCATTCAAGAGAATTCAATGCTAAACATGGATTAGCCGAAGACACTTATTACAAATGATAATAACAAAGTAACCAAACTAAGACAAAACATCAACAACATCAACAAAAATTCTTCACCTAGAGTTAGATTTTCGTGGTGAGGGAGAAAGTGAGGGAGGGAAGGGGTATTTAAATAACTTTTACCCGTCTTAGGCTCTGTATGATCACGGCCACGATCGTGCATGAGATCGTGGTCTTGATTTTTCTTCTTCTTTGCTCATCATACATTGCCACGATCATGACCCTTTCGTGCACAAGATCTTGCAGCGGCCACGACTCCCCCATGATCATGGTGGTGATCGTTGCCAAACTTCTGTAGCCACCATGACAAACCCCACGATCATGGTGGTCGTCGTAGCCAAAGTTCTGCACCTACCACGACTCCACCACGATCGTGGTGATGTTAGTAGTGGTGTTTCCGTTTTCCTCTTGCAAAATTGCTTCTCCCAATGTGTTCCAAACTCATGTCCCCATACAAAACAAACTAAAAACACCAAATACACAACAAAGTATCCACAAATAAATCAAAAACCTTGGGTTGCCTTCTAAGAAGCGCTATGTTAGTTTAACGTCTTTAACCCGACATAACCTTCACACTCTTGTCAATGTACATCACACCCCTTGGGTTGAAAGCACGAAGGACTCATCCAATGTTTTCTCCACAACAAATCCTCACTTTTCCGCAAGCTTTTGGCCTTAGCCTTGGCCTTGGCCTTACCTTTCACATTCACATTTCCATTTTCCTGCGATTAAGCCAAAGCAAATTTTGCTTCTTCATTACCTATCCGAAGGGTCAACTTGTCGGTCCCAACATCAATGATGGCCCTACATGTGGCCAATAATGGTCTCCCAAAGATCAAAGGAATGTCAAGATCATCACTACCAACATCAACAACAACAAAATCGACTAGGATTATGAACCCTTTGACTTGCACCAACATATCCTCCGCAATGCCTTTAGGATACCGAATGGACCCATCGGCAAGGCGGATGCTTAGACGTGTTGGGGTCAAAGATGGCAACACTAATTGATCGGCTACAAATGAATGCATGCATCACATTAATGGAAGCACCCAAGTCGACTAGTGCATTGTCAAAATCTAGGTCCTTGACCATACATGGAACAACAAATGCACCAGGGTCACCCATTTTTTGTGGGCACCCCTTGTGAAGGATAGTAGAATATTCTTCATTCAGACATACTTTAGAAACACCACTCAACCCTTTCTTATGTTTCAACAATTCTTTAAGATTGCGAGCAAATTTTGGCATTTCACCAAGGGCATGCAAAAATGGCATATCAATGTGTAGCTTATGCAAGAGAACATTGAATTTACCTTTCTTTTCCAATTCATCCATGTTAACAAGCCTTTGTGGGAATGGAATGGGTGGCTAGTAATGTGGTGTCTCTGATTTTTCCTTAGTCCCATCTTTCTTGTTGGTTATGCCACTTGAAATGGCCCCCTTCTCTTTGATTGTTAGGCCACTTGAGGTGGCCTCTTTCTCATCGGATTGCACCTTCAGTTCACAAGAAACGATTTCTTCTTCCTCAACCCTCAATAAAATGGCATTTGTTTGGGGTTATTCTCGGTAGTGCTAGGTAAAGCACCACATGGTCTCTTTGAAACGATTTTCACCAATTGTGCCAATTGTGTCTCTAAGATCCTCATGGATGTTTGAGTTTCTTGACGCATGGCAGAAAATTCTTGCCGGTAATCTTGTGTAATCTCTTGCTTGAGGAGGACTTTATCATTCTTCCATTCATTAAGCATCCTTGTCACTTTTTTATCCAACTCTCGAATCTCATTTCTAGGAACATACACATCACCTTGGGAAACATGAGGTGGCCTATAGGGAGCATTGTTACCTCCTCCTTGAGGTGGGTCGTAGGCAATTTGGCCTCCTTCCCTATTAGGTCCATAGGTGGTTTTGCCACCTTAATTAGCTTGTAGTATCCATTGGTTGTTGCAGCTTTCTTGATTCCAACCATTACCTTGTTTCCACCCATGGTTACCACTACCCTCGTAGTTGTATCTTTGTCCATGGGGTCCTTGTGAATAACCAACGGCCTCAACTTGTTCATAAGCACTTAGGGACATGCACTAGATCACGAAATTCATTGTATCTTGTAACCAAGAACTGGTGGATATAGTGAATTCCTCTTGGAGATAGGAGAAAGTGGAGTAGGAGGATTACATCACCTCCGAACCACTCTAAATCTCTGTGTTCTTTACTACTTTATTTATTTACTATTGCATGCTTGCTTCTCACGTGATATTCACTTGGCACAATCACAACACTCATTTTAATATTCTGTTGTGCACAAGACTCTAACAATTGGTTAAGAGTTTTGTTCTATTTATTGACTTAGCAATTCGCATTTGACGAAATTGGTATAAAAGTCTATTCATCCCCCTCCCACTAGACTTTTACCTTACCTCTTTTGGGACCAACAAGGGTAGAATCATATGCTTTGTAGGTTATCAAAAATCTCAAATTAGCTAGTGTTGGTATCGATCGGGTTGGCCGAGTTCAGCCCCTACTCGATTTGAGACGTGGTGTTGTGGCTTACCATGGAGGGATGTGGTTAAAAGGTTAATGTCTACATACTTATCACCAATTGGTTTTAAGTAGTATATGACAACCATATAGCTAAAGAACTTTGTGGTTAAGCGTGCTTGACTTACAACAGTCACAGGATGGGTGACCCACTAGGAAGTAAACATAGTGCACCGCTCAGATCCAATATTTGGTATTAGAGTCGAGGTCACGGGTTCGAATCGATGGCGAGGCGATAGCTGAGTTCAGTCTCGGATGGGATGTGGGCATAGGTTGGGCCAAGTCTAGTCCTAGGAGGGGAGTGATGGGCACGGGCATAGGTTGGGCCAAGTCTAGTCCCAGGAGGGGGATGATGGATGCGGAGGCTAAGGACCGAGTGAGGCATGCTATGCAACTAGGCTTGGTGATCAAAGGTTGACTTGGTGATCAAAGGTTGTAGCAGGTGCTGGGAGGGGGATTATTGGGCATCGCTCGGGTTAGCCGAGTTCAGCCCCTACTCGATTCGAGACGTGACGTTATGGCTTACCATGGAGGGATGTGGTTAAAAGGTTAATGTCCACCTACTTATCACCAATTAGTTTTAAGTAGGATATGACAACCATATAGCCAAAGAACTCTGTGGTTAAGCGTGCTTGAGTTACATGATGGGTAAGCGTTGTAACACCCCGTGTTACGACCTCCGTATCCAGACTAATTATGAAATTAATTCCGTTAGCATATAATTAAAAAGGATTTAATTAGACTAGAATTCCCATTAATTAATTAGTATGGTCCACAATGGATCGTAGACCCTTAACCTTAACCAAGTCTTTAATTCTATAAGGAATAGAAAAAGTGGGCTTTTACTATCCAGATTCTAGTTAGGACTCCTGAATCTATATATAGGGAATTAGAAAGCATTTAGAAACCCTACCACAATTAATTCTACCACGCGAGATATTCCCCGAGGAAGCCTAGCAAAGAAATTCCCTGCCACCAAACTTAGAGGAATCCATTGGAGGGAGATCTTAGAGAAGAACCTTAGTAGCCAAGGATATTGACTAGGGCTAAGGAGGTAACCCATGTCTTACAAAACCTATTTTCCTTGCTATATCTTATTCATTAGCTCCTTTGATAATTGTATGGATGATTTTGTGATTGAGTCTTGATAGAGCCCTTGCCTAGGATTTATATTGTGTTTATTTGATAATCTTGATGTTTGATGGGTGTCGAATCCAACAAATAATAATTTACTTACTCTAATAAAATTGCAACAGTGATGAGTAAGGTCATACCCACAGCGATTGGTTTGATTTAATTTTATGCCAAGATTAAATTAAGAATAGAATGGCGATTCAAGTTCAAAATGCAAATAATAAAATGACAAAAATATTAATATCAAATAAAATGAATCAATAGAAAACTAGTATCCAACCCAAGGTATAATATCAGAATTGATTCAAAGAAGTGATCATTGAAAAAAGTGTAAATCCTTTTATCCTACACCAAACTGGTTATGGTTATTAACAAGCTCTAACAACCTATCTCTCCTTACTTTATCGGTAATCAAAACAGGCTCTTCAATTACTTCCCTAGACAATTAACAACCCTAAACAAGCTCTTAGGATTTAATTAATTACCAGCATTAAAAATTAGAAAGACTACCAATTCTAGCCAACAGACTCGCAAGCTCGGTCCATTTAAACTAGATTATACATCTTCATAACATAAGATTGAAAATCTAATTTATAATCAACTATGTTATTTTACCACTAAGGTTTAGAATACTTAAACAATTACGGATTCAAGAATTCTAAATGGCAATTTACTGGAATGAAAATTGAACAACGGATCCTTTCTGCACAATTAATCAAAGCAGTAATATATCAAGATAATAGGAGATATATAAATAATATAGCATAAAAGAAAACCAAATTAAGTCTCACAATCCTAAAAGAACAAAACTTCAATTATTCTTGAGTTGGAAAATAAACTTAGCAACAAATCATAATGTAGAGAAATAAAATTGTTCTAAAACTGATTGTCTTTTACTGAAAATTCAGCCTTATTTATACTAGTTCAGGCTCCCTAATCAGCTCAAAATAACCCTAATTTCTCTAACATCCACAAATTAAATTCATTTACTCAACCACACAAAATCTGAAAAATAAATAATCTTTATTTTTCTAACTAGAGAGAATTAGAAGATTAGGCACAAAGTAATCTCTGCAATATAATTTCACCCGGCTCGTTCGTAGAAGCAATTCGTGAATGAAATCCTTCGCAAATAACGCATACGAAGTCTTCTTCGCAATTGCCGTAATCGTCAATTGAGATTGTCGCCATAGTTGCCGATGGGATCGCTCGAATCTACTGAAGCTGCCCCCTGTCTTTACTTCTTGCATACAGAATTGCAAAGGAAAAAGCTTAAAAGGAATTTTGAACTTGGGCTCCTGAACATATAAAAAGGATTAAGTGATTTTAAATGGCCCAATTAAATACTAAGTCTATTTTATTCTTCCATCAACTAATTAAGTCAAAACTTATTAATAATAGAATAACAATATCAATATACAATCCTAATGGCCTAAAATAATCATTAAACTTAATTATATAAATATTTGTTATATTATTTCAAAACATAAAATAAAGTTTAAATTAAATATATTATTAAATAAATAAAATTAAATTATTATAAAAATTAATCTAAATTAAACATATAAATTGTGCTTATCAATTTTCTTGATATTGTGATTGATTATATGAATGATCTTGTATTTTAATTATGTCTAGAGCTTGTCCCTAGGGTTTGTATCGTGAATCTCATTGTTGTGATGTTCTTGGTATATTTGGATGGGTTTATGCATGATCGGGTGTTGAGTCTAGCCTAGGACTTGTATTTAGGACTTTGCATATAGATTTCTTGACGTCCCTGTGGTTCCGGATGCTCCTAACCGTTATATGATTGATGTCGAGTCTTGGCATGTTTAGAAATCGTATTAGAACTTATTTGGAATGATTCTTGGTTCAATTCCCGTTAATTGAATCCGTGATATTGTTGTGGTGTGTTGGAATGTGTCTGGACATGGTTTCGGGTTCCACGAGAGATCCCGGGACCGAAAAGTTGCCTATGTACCATTGGGGGGTAGGTGGGGGGATGACCGCCCACCACCTACCCGCTGCCCGACGTGCCTAACTCCAGTGGGCAGTGGCCTGCCCGCCGGCCACCCGCTGGAATCATGGATGCCCCCCCGGCGGGTGGCTGGCGGGGGGGTCCTCCACCCGTCACCCACCCGCTGGAAAGTGGGTACGGGGCGTGGTATTTTCCCCCGTTTGTTGTTTCCCCGTGTTCCGTTGTATCCCGTTGTACCCTGTCTGTCGTGTATGAGTCTCGTTTGATGTTTTACCGTTCTAGGAATTTATGTGTAGTGCGTGTCGTTGTTGTTATGTCTTGATTGCTATTGATTGATTATGTGTTGCTTGATTGAATGATGATGAGTATCGTGGTCATTGCGCAATGGCCGGTGTGATAGATGATAATGATGTTGAGATTGTGATTGATGGAAATGAATTGTTGGCGGTTGGCACAACGAGTGCCCGGTCATTGTACTAAAGGTACATGCCTAGCGGTTAGTGTGCTAAAGACACAAACCCACCTTTGACTTGCTTGCCGTTGAGCATGGGTCATGTTATAAGTGATGCGGTGCCATGTCGGGGCTATATGCGCTGACCCCTTGGTATTGGTACTAGAGGTACGGATCATGCGAATGGCACTGCGGCGCTATCTTGATATGTTTGTGGTTGAAATGTGGTTTGTCGGTGGGGGCATGTAGTTGCCCCGAGGAATAAGTGAGGCGATATAAGGGTGGCCTGGAGGTATAAGTTGGAACTAATATAAGGACGGAGGGGAGCTACAAGGTTGGAACTTGGTATAAGGTTGGAAGATGAATTGTGTGCTTTGATGATTACTTGTTAACTAGTTGTCTTTGAATGCCCTGGTTGTCTCTATTTGCTATTTATGAGCTTATTTGTCTATTATGTCTTGTATCGTATTCTTAGGACGCATGTTAATCTTTATGATTGTTCTATAGTGTTGAGTCTATTGTTATGTCTTGTGCCTTGATCTTGGATTTAAATTAGAGTCTCGTAAGTTATATATGCATTCCAGTTTGAAAATGATTTTCCTATATCTACCTATATTGTACTTAACGCGTTGGAGTGGGTTACCAGCATTATTCGCTGACGGTTGTTACACTGAATGTTTTTCAGGAACAATGAGTAGCTTTGGAGTGCGCTAGTTGGATCCGTGGACTTAGTTTAGATAGTTCTAGCTTGATGAGATAGCCTGCGTGCCTTGATTTGTATTTGGATATTAATTACGCTTTGTTAGTTAGTTTAGCCTGTGCATCTGAGTTCTCTAGCTCAGGTGTGGCATAGCACCCCGACTACCATGTTTGGTTTATGCTCTGTTTCGGAATTATTATTAGATTTGCCTTTATTCCATAAGCTTTTAAAGTTTAAAAATTTTGGGGTGTTACAAGCGTGCTTGAGTTACAAGAGTCACATGATGGGTAACCCACTGGAAAGTAAGCATAGTGCAACTCTCAGATCCATCAGATAGTGGAGATTCTTCTTTTGATTTACTACTATTATATGTGAAATAAATGTTGAGTTCTTTGGTTCATGTTGATTTCTCTTTTGTTAAGCGACTTGTGAATCGAACTGTCCACTTAGTGATTAGGGAGTCCGCTTCTTTGTTAGGTTGCAAGGAATGGTAAGTTCAACCTCCTACTTTCTTGTTAGATGCCTTGTATGCTGATTTGAATTAATGGAATCATTTTCTCTTTAAAATCTTTCCATTTCACTCCTATTGCTATTTATTTTTATTGAGTTATTTTTAGAAAATCATGTCAAGCTACTTTACTTAGTATTCGTGCATGCTATATAATTACAATTAACCATTTTTTGTATGAAAACTGAAAAGCATGATTCTCGTCAAAAAAACAGAAAAGCATGATTAAAATTTTCTTATATCAACATAGATTAGTTTACATTTTGAGATTATCTTTATGAATTAATGTAAATTAATTAGTATTTATTCCTATTAGTACCAAGAAGCCAACAATTACTACTAAAAAATACAAGGAAAAGTAAAACAACAAACATGACCCCCATTAGTATATGTTTATATCTACTTCTCAACCTATTAAAGCACAAAAAGTCAATACTACCCCGATGAATGTAGGAGTCTACGTATATTACTCAACAATCCAGAATGACATACTAGAGTACAAGATATATGAGATAGAGTCCTATACAATGAGAACATCTAGTTACAATATAACATAAGATATAATTATCACTAATACATCCCCGCAAAATCATGTTGGTAGAGCAACAACATTAAGTTTGTCACGCAAGACGGAGAACCGAGCTGAACCAAGAGCCTTCGTGAAGATATCTACCAGATGGTCTTTCGTAGAAATAAACTGCACCGCAAGCTCCCCGGAAGCGGCCTTGTCCCTTACAAAATGATAGTCTATCTCTACGTGCTTGGTCCTAGTGTGAAAGACGGGATTAGCAAAGAGATATGTCGCCCCCAAATTATCACATCATAGGTGAGGCGGATAAGAAAGCTGGATACCCAACTCAGTTAGCAAGGAAACCAACCACATAAGCTCAGTCGAAGCATCTGTGATCCCCTTGTACTAAGCCTCCGTGGATGAACGCGCCACAGTCTTCTGCTTCCACCAGGCCCAAGAAACCAAATTACCACCTAGATAAATATCAAAGCCACTCGTAGACTTCCTGTCAACAGGATAGCCAGCCCAATCTGAGTCCGAAAAGACATGAACATCCAAAGAATTGGACTTGGAAATACGAAGCCGAAGAGCCAAAGTGCCCTTCACATAACGGAGCACACGCTTCAGATCAACCCACTGAGCAGTCGTCGGAGCATTCATGAACTGACACAACCTGTTAACCACATAAGACAAATCAGGCCGGGTAATGGTGAGATATTATAGTGCACTTGCCAACCAACGATAAGTAGTAGGATCGAAAGTAGCTTAGACGAACCAGTAAACACAGACCGTGAAGTAGTAACATGAGTAAGGATAGGCTTAAAGTCCTCCATCCCTGCACGACGCAGAATATCAGTCATATAATGGTGATGCGACAACACCATCGCGCCATCAACATCCAAAGTCTCAATTCCCAAGAAAATCCGCGGAGCACCTAAGTCATGTATCTTAAATGCCACATGGAGCCTGTTTCAAGCCATACAGAGACCGCTACAGGATACAAACATGATCAGAATATTGTTTATCAACATACCGGGTGGCTGCCGCATGTATACTGTCTTGGTCAAACGCCCATTGAGGAAGGAGTTGTGCACATCCAACTGACGCACAGCCCATCCACGAGACACAGCCAATGCAAGCAGCAAACGAACTGTAGTGGGCTTCACCATAGGACTAAAAGTGTCAAAGAAGTCCTCACATGCCACCTGACTGAAGCCCTTCGCTACTAAATGAGCCTTATGGCGCTCAACAGACCCGTCAGCTTTCCGTTTAACCCGAAAACCCCATTTACAACCGACAACATTCTGACCCGGACGGGGAGGAACTAAGCGCTCTACACTCGGGAAACGCCACGGCCCGGCCAGCCCGAGCCGCCCGAGTAGTGTGTTTGAGCTCCATAGGATGATCACGGACCTAAGAACGAACACGAGCTCGCTTCCTACGAGACACAACTGGAGGAGCCGGAGCCACCAAACCACCAAAAACACCAGTAGGCATAGGCTCGGACACACTAGACACATTACCAACCGAAGGAGCAACGGGCAAGACACCCCACGACACAGATGTAGGATCTGCATGAGAAGAGGGTGCAACAGAAGCAACAAAAGGGAAAGAACCCTCATTGAATCTCACATGCCTGCATATAAATATACGATTAGTCTGAAGATCAAGACACCGATACCCCCGAAACGACTTAAGATACCCGAGTAAAACACACCGAGAAGACCGAAACTTGACCTTGTGACGACTATAGGGACAAAGATATGTGAAACACAAGCACCCAAAAACACGCAAATACGTATAATTAGGGGGCCAACCAAACACAACAGAGTACGGACTAACATTAGCTAACATAGAGGTAGGCAACCAATTAATCAGAAACGTGGCAGCCTCAAACGCAAAAAAAATTTAAAAAAAAAAAAAAAACCAAAAATGCAAAGGAACAAACGCCTGAGCCAGAAGAGCGAGGTCAGTCTCGACAACATGCTGATGTCGGCGCTTAACATGCCCATTCTGCTCATGCGTGTAAGCACAAGACCAATGATGTATAATACCAAGACTAGAAAATAACTTGCCAAGCTTTTTGTATTCCCCTCCCCCCCACACCCCCCCCCCCCAAAGATTAGATTGAATAAAAACAATTGAACGCGGAAACTGAGGCTCAACACAAGCACAAAATTTAGCAAATATATCATAAATCTCAATTTTTAAACACATTGGATAAATCCACATAAACCGAGAATAGTCGTCAACAAACAAAACAAAGTACTGAAATCCATCACTAGACAAAATAGGAGCAGGGCCCCAAATATCAATATACACAAGTTCAAGAACATTGGTACTATTATTGCTAACACGAGGAAGGGGAAAGCGAGAAGGCTTCCCCATTTGACATGCTAAACATAAAGACTCTGAACTAACTAAGCTAGAATCATTAATCGAAAAACTATGAAGAATAGACCTAAGGACCTGAGAATGCGGATGGCTGAGACGGCAATGCCACACAGGCGAGGAAGCTCTAGCCGAAAGAAAAGCCACGAGATTGGAAACTGGAAGAGTATACAGACCACCAGAACTCCCACCTTTAAGTAAAACGACCCTGGTTTCGCGATCTTTAACAAAAGAACAAGACGGGTGAAACTTAAAATAGACATTATTATCAGTAGCAAAGCCCTGAACAGACAGTAAAGAATGCGATAAACCAGGCACAAGAAACCCACGAGATAGAGACAAAGAACGAGAAGAAGAAGGGACAATAGAATGACCAACTCTAGAAATAGGCAAATCTATGCAATCTCCAACACGAAGAGTATCACCCCTGTGATATGAATCAACACTAAACAAGGCATTGACATCTAGAGTCACGTGATCAGTGGCTCCCGTATCCGGCAGCCAAGTGTGCGAAAAAGCACCATCATCCAAGCCACCATAGCAGCCGGAGTAGAGAGCAAGCCACGCGCTGCCTCATCAACGTCATCTGCACAGATGAATTGGTGTGCCGTCAGGTAGTCCAAGAGTTGCCCGATCTGATCGTCACAGCCGCGCCTTTGACAGTGAGAGAAGACTTGCCTGATCGTCACATCTGCGCCTTTGACAATGAGAGGAGTTGCCCGATCCGATCGTTATAGCCGCGCCTTTGACAGTGAGAGAAGACTTGCTCGATCGTCACATCTGCGCCTTTGACAGTGAGAGAAAACGCCAAAGAAGAATCACCCAGCCGCGCCTTTGACAGTGAGAGAAGACTTGCCGATCGTCACATCCGCGCCTTTGACAGTGAGAAAAGACGCCAAAGCAGAATCACCCTGGGAATCTGATACCAGGTGAATGTAGGAGTCTACGTATATTACTCAACAATCCAGAATGACATACTAGAATACAAGATATATGAGATAGAGTCCAATGCAATGAGGACATCTAGTTAGAAGGGCTCAAACCCATGACCTCTCATTTGGGATTGGGAGAGTCACTTCATGCCATTAGATCACAAGGTCATTGGTCATTTCAGTGTCTCTAGTATTAGCTAGAATTGGATTTGTGCAAGTGAATTACAAAAAAATAATAATAATAATAATAATTTAAAAGTACATATAGGATGGCAATGGCTATTTCCCTAGCTTGATTTGTAAGAATGAAAATGAAAAGAAGGTCTAAAGTGTATGTATTTGCGATGGTTTGAAATTTTGAGATGAGAGTTAATTCGGTTGATTAATAATTCATCTCGCATTGTGACCTTAGCCGACGAATGACCACAATCAAACAAAAGATCAATAAATAGCTCTCACGGAAAATATAATCAAACTTGAAAACTTTATGATTATTTGATTAATTATGTGCCCAACTTAGGATAAATTATCCAAAAATATATATACTTTTTCACACATAAATAATGTTAGGACTGTTAAATTTTGGCCTATTCACTCGTTAGTCCCCGCGTGATGCTTGCACAGTTATACACCCGGAATTGCGTATATATATGTATGTGTGTTTGTATATGTAAAGAGAAGAAAAAGGAGGAGAGGAAGAACACCAAGTATAGTATAACCATCATGTAAGTGTGTCCCTTTCATTCATCTTCACTCACTTTATATAGTGGTCATATACAACCTTTCAAGTACACAACATCAATACATGATTAAATGATAAGCAAGTGAAAAGTCTAAATAGTTTAATGGCCATAAATATAAATATTTACAACACTCCCCCTTGCCATTAAATAATTATACTTATGCCTCGTTAAAAACCTCGCTAGAAAAACCCTGTGGGAAAAACCTAGTCGAGGAAAAGAGTACATGTAGTATCAATCATGTGTTGCATCGGTTGCCTCGTTAAAAACCTTAGCCTAAGAAAAACCCAGTGGGAAAAAAACTTAGCTAAGGGAAAAAGAGTAAAACCATAAGCCTTCTGGGCATCATCTTCAGGATTTAAAAGTCTCCTAGACCGAGTTTATCGCTCCCCCTGAAGACAACAGTCTTCCTAGACTCCGCATCCCAATTTTATAAACATACTTCTCAAAAGTGGATGTAGGCAGGGACTTAGTGAACAAATCTGCCAGATTTTCACTAGAGCGAACCTTTTCAATGAGTATTTCACCACTCTTCTGGAGTTCATGTGGGTAAAAGAACTTAGGAGCAATATGTTTAGTAAGACCTCCTTTAACGTACCCATTACTCATCTGTGCAACACATGCCGCATTGTCCTCATATAGGACAGTCGGGGAATCAACATTGCTCATTGTTCCGCATGAGCGATGAATGTGCTGTATCAGTGATCTCAACCATACGCATTCACGTGCGGTTTCATATAAAGCAATTATCTCCGAGTGATTAGATGAGGTAGCAACTAAGGTCTGTTTAATGGACCTCCAAGATATAGCTGTACCTCCACAAAGAAAAACATAACCAGTTTGCGATTTAGCAGTATGAGGGTCAGACATATAACCAGCGTCTGAATACCCTTTCAAAGTAATGTCCTGGTTGTTTTCAAAATAAAGACCAAGGTCTTTTGTCCCTTGGAGATATCTAAAGATATGCTTTATTCCACTCCAATGTCTTCTGGTTGGAGAGGCACTAAATCTAGCAAGTAAATTCACTGAAAAGGCAATATCAGGTCTTGTGCAATTAACCAGGTAAAGCAAGGCTCCTATAGCACTTAGGTAAGGAACTTCAGGTCCTAGTACCTCCTCATTATCCTCCTTAGGTCTAAATGGGTCATTTTCCGCTTCAAGGGACCGGACTACCATTGGGGTGCTAAGGGCATGAGATTTATCCATATAGAATTTCTCCAATAATTTATTAATGTAGTTAGCTTGGTGAATGAAAATTCCATTTGGAAGATGCTCGATCTGCAGGCCGAGGTAGAACTTGGTTTTTCCCAAGTCTTTCATTTCGAATTCTGCTTTTAAGCATGAACATGCTTCTATAAGGTCTTCCTTTGTCCCAATAATGTTCATGTCATCGACATAGACAGATATAATGCAGAAGCCATTAGATGACTTCTTAATGAATATACAAGGGCAAATATCATTTTTAACGTATCCCTTCTTCAAGAAGAATTCACTCAAATGGTTATACCACATTCTACCAGATTGCTTCAAGCCATATAATGACCTTTGAAGTTTGATGCTATACATGTTTCGATCTTTATCCCTCATATTGGAATTTTGAATACCCTCGGGTATTTTCATGTATATATCAGCATCTAGTGACCCATAAAGGTAAGCTGTCACTACATCCATCAACTGCATATCTAATTTCATACTTACTGCCAATGATATTAAATAGCGGAATGAGATGCCATCAATAACAGGAGAGTATGTTTGATCAAAATCAATTCCGGGTCTCTGCGTGAACCCCTGAGCTACCAATCTCGCTTTATATCTAACCACCTCATTGTTTTCATTCCTCTTTCGTACGAATACCCACCTGGATCCTACTGGGATCACATCTTTTGGGGTAAGTATGGTGGGACCAAAAACTTTCCTTTGATTAAGCGAGTTGAGCTCTGCCTCAATTGCCTGTTTCCACTTCAACCAGTCAGAGCGCTTCCGACACTCGGTTATTGACTTTGGTTTTGGATCCAGATTATTTTGTGGAATATTACAGGCAACTGCATAGGCAAAAGTGTCGTCGACGACTATTAAATCTCTATTATATGTTTCCCCTGTATCAAC